CTCTCTCAAAGACCAGAGACTCGCCCACTCCCCTACAGCCGGGGTCTCACCCGGGAACAGGAGAGGGCACCGGCCGAGTGACACAAACCACGAAAATCGTCTTGACAATTCGCCAGAGGAACCAGGTAAGCGGCAAAAGAAGACAAGCCTTCACATGCGTGCACACACACACTCTCTCTCTCTGCTTTTGCGCTTAAGGTTTTTGAAAATTACACACCAGCAGCAGCTACGCAAAACAGCAAGGTACCAGAGACGCGAGCCCCGGCAGCCCTGGAGCGGTTCTAGGCCAGGCAGGGGGGTGGAAACAGGAAAATGTCGCTTTTACAGGATGACAGGACACAGACGTTCAGGATCTCATGCTTGCATGCAGGCTTCGTACAATGCTAATTCACCCACTGGTCGACCATTACCGTGACCGCTTTTCTGTTATTTTCATCCTCTCCTCCTACTACAGGGGTCTGACTTAGTTTCCTGACAGAGCGCAGAGGTCAAGCTCCTTCCTGGGCAGAGGAAAAGCCACGAAGCGGCTCAGATAATATTACTCAAGTCTTCCTGAATATGGGTATTCTATCAGGAACTGCCAGCAAACAATTAGTATTAACAACAGAAAACCTCACCGGATATGATTTTTTAACTGCTGGCAAAAGGGAACATGCCTCCACAACTGGAGTTTAAGGACAAAAACACGGAGCAGACGTTTTAGTTGTGCTCGGGACCGGATCCGAGGTGAAAAGGCAAGAGGCTGCGCTGGCAGCACAAAGGCGGGTGCAACGCTTCCCCCTCCAGCCCCCACAGGCCTACGCGTTCTCTGTTCGGGGCTCCTACACACGCCTCACCGCAGTTCTAGGAGGGGAAGCCGTCTGCGGTGCTCCCTTTCAGGCCCGCCGCGAGGGCCGCAGTAAGCAGCAGCGGAGGTGAAGGATTAGTTTGCTGCCGCCTCCTGCTAAAAGGGGCTCAAAGCCTTGCGGGTTTAGGGGAAGGCAGAGGTATGCTGCGGCCTGCGGGTCCACAAAAGGCAGATTCTGCTTTAACCAAAGAACTTGGGCTGCGTGGCGGCAGCGGAGAAAACAAAGAACAGCAGCGAAATATATATTGCTGGAAGTAATTTTCACTGGCTTGCACATTTTCCCAATAATATTCACTTTAGGAATGTAAAACTGCGTGCAGATGAATTGTTTTCCTTAAGCTGAAATACGTGTAGCGACCTAAATCCGATGGGGAAGTGGCTAAATTCCAGCTGCGTTCACTGCGGATGGTCAACGCCACATCCCAGAGAAGCCTCCAAAGACTTTCACTTCAGTCCGTGTCCAAAGGATGACAAGACTCCATGTGGTCCTTGTCTTAAATCAACGTGTATTCTATCAGACATGTATCAACACTACAGCAATGGAATCTATCATGAATAAATAGATCTGTCATCTTCTGAAAGTTCTCCTGTGCAGCTTTACGCTGAAGTGTGCTGAAGGTCCTCTTGGCATGGTTTGTGTAAGAGACTACCACTGGTGTAAAGACATACCACATCTCGGTCCTCCAGCATTTTAAATTACAGCCCGGGTACGACATGGACTAGGAGAATGAGGATAATCACTGGTACTGCCTGTAGTCGCCAAATGGAGAGGGCTGCAACTGGGAGGGGTCATCTGAAAACTGAGGGCCTGCGAATAAGGCAAGAGAAGAAAAGGCAAATATTACAAAAAGACAGGAGATCCTTCCTCCTAAAAGCATGAACCACATTCACAGCATTTTTAATATAAATCCCCTCTAAAATTAATGAAGCCAGTAACAAGACTTTACATTGGGTTTTTTTTTCATTCAAAGGAGTTCAAGAGCTTTACGCGTTGACAAGAGCCTCAGTCCAACAAAGAGCCTTTACTAACGGGGAAATGAATCGGAGCAGTGAGAGGGAAACATTTTCAGACGCCTAAAGGAGCTGGAAACCTATGCCTTATTGCCCTTCAGTTGAACTTAGCCACTCTGTAAAGGTTTACCCACGGCAACTTGCCCGACAATAAAGCAAGCCAGTGAAACGGAACAAATGATTGTGGAGTCAGCTTCCCAACTCCTCTCACTGACGTTCTGCTGGAGGGAAGCAATACGTTTACCATATGCTAATTTTAGAGAGAATAAATTGTAACAGACAGATGATACCCTTTCTCTAACACAGATTAATTTTAAAATGCTTTTGTATTAAGAACAGAAATTGTTATAATTCAGATTGAACAAAGCTGAGAGGGAAGCCTCTCAGGAATTAGTAGCTTGCTACTAATCCCTTCAACAAACACTAGCGTTTTTGTCTGTATTCCTCCCAAAACAAGGTGGGCCGATAGGGGTATGGAGTATTTTGCACAGGCAAGTATTTACACAAATGGTTACCGACTCGGCTGACTGACACCTCAGCCTGCATTTTACTTAGGGGGCGGAGAAAAAAAAAGGGATCTAGTTTTTGAACTAGCAGTTTAGGAAAAAAACGCCGCCGCCACCAGCCCTCTTTGAAATCTTTTATCTGTATCTGCCTGCTGATCTCGATCACCTCATTTAAACCAGGGCTGCCCGCACATTCACCCACAGACCATAGCCAGCCTGCCAGCAGCGTCCCTCTTGCCCGCAGCTTGCTGCTCCCTCAAACCTGCTGTGTCACCCACCACTGACTACAATACTGCTGCCACCATCTGACAGCTTGTGTGGCTGCATCAGGGGACAGGGCAGAAGACGGGGGACAGCGGGGACGTCCCTGCTTTCAGCCATGCAGCCTCCAGCCACCCAGTGGGGAGGAGCTGATGATACTCCGGTGTCACCGGCAACGTGCGGCTCCTCCTTGACTTTCTACAGCCTTAGAAGCTGGCAACGGCAGAGCAGATTCACTCTGTGATAAGATTGATGACTGGAAGAGGTACGTTAGTAAAGACTGCACTATAAAAGCCTGGCGATGCCACAGTCCGACGGCTCCTTACCGTTGGGAAACTGTGTGGAGGCAAATCTTGTTAACAGAATACCAGCTCCTTCGATTAAAGCTAGGAGAATTCCTCCCATCGCAGCAGATCCGACCATGGCAACAGGTCCATCTAAAAATAAAAAGCACAAAATAACGCTTTTTACTTCTTTGGTGCATTACTTCGCGTGTTATAGCTCTCTTTCTTTAGTTACAGTCTCTCCTATAAGCAGACTCAGAAGCAGTAATTTTGCATCCATTAAGCCTCATTAGCATCACCAGTAAAGGGATAATTAGTGGGCAACTCCCCCCCTCCTCCTCAAGGAAACAAAGGAACACCGCTAATGTTTGAGAGCATAATTACTACTTTCATAAGCACAGGACAAAAGTTTCAGATTATCTTTCAATTTCTCTGAGAAAGTAAATTCCAATTTGGGTATCATAGACTGCTGCGTCGCTGTAGCGATGAGAACTGTACGTTCAGAGTACAGAAGTTTTTCAGCTGATATCCTCGGTTTCTTACTTCTTGCAGCTAATATGGCTCCAGTCAGGGCTCCGCTTGTGATTGAATTCCACGGATCTTCTTTCCCTCTCATTCTGACCATACTGCAGTCAATCATGGAGAAGAGACCTCCCCAGACAGCGAAGCTACCTGTTAAAAAAAAAAACACCCCAAAACCGGTTTAGAGAAAGCAGACACGCCAGCCGCGCTGCAGCCGTATAATCAAGAGATGGTGTAGTATCAGCGTGCCTGCTTTCAGACGTGGAAGGATACTCAGACCCACAAAGAACCAAACATAGGTTAAAATCAGTACCGCGAAAAATTCTCAACTTGCCAGGTGGCACACGTATTACACATACACACATTTCATATCTCATCTCACTAATTTATATTTAATGACAGAAAGCTTACCAAACAGTGATAACGGAACTTCCATCCTAAGAGCCAGATTAGCTCAGGGAACTTTCATATTTTTCACTTTTTAAACATATTTCCTCATAGAGAATGACGCAGAGTAATTTCCTACCTTATCCTAATCGTGCTCCTGGCATCTCAGAAGATGGGTACTGGTCGGTATTGTATGGCAAAGAGAATGCAAGTTCCCAGAACGCAAATTCTGAAGTCTTTTAACAATAATGTGTATTACAAATTAAAATAAATACTGATCTCCAGACTCATTTGGGGAAAACTACTATTTAGAATAAGCTCAGTCCTCCTTCATTTGAGGTGTCTGACACTTTACACCAGCTTAATACCAGCTAAAAACCAGGAGGTGCCTCTCTCTGTGCACAGTCCCCGCAGGCTGCAGCCACAAAGCCTTTTCAGCCTGCGGCCCCCATTTCTTTACAGCCAGCGGTTCCGCGCTCAACGCCACTCTCCCGTTTTCTCCTGTAATGCATTAATTCAATTTGCCTGTCAGAATGGCCTAATGGCACAGGGCAGCGCGTGGCCACAGTGTGACCTTTAAGAGGTCACGACGCCATTTTGACTCAAGCTGCGGCTTTGTGATTTTTTACACTTCCGCGCGCAAAACTCGCTTCACAAAAATGACCGAAGTTTACCTACCTGACCCCAGGGGAACAGTCTGAAATCCTACCCAGACCGACCCATCCACTTAATTGTTCCTCCAAGTTTTGTTTATTTTTTTTGTTTATTTTAAAACCCCGCGCACAATGCACAGGCTCCCAGGCAGCTCTGCACAGAGCTGCTTAAAATATGAGAAAATTATTAACCCTGGCTTATCACTCCATGAACACAAGTGTGTTTCCTCCACACCAAACTAATTCTGGATGCATCAGAACCATATTTACTCATTGCTTGGACTAACAAACCCCACTGAAACACAGCTGGCCCACAGCTCAGGTGTCACTGCGCTTGCGCCACGTGATATTCCCTGGTTATCTACCAACAGTCAACTGACTGCAACAGCAATACAAAATTAATTACCTCCCAGTTGCGGAGCTCTTGTTTTAATAGCTGTCAAACTTCCCCGCAGCCGGTGGTTTACACCCTACAATAAAAGAGCAATGACAGTTAAAATAAAAGAGTGAAGTCTTACAGCCAATCTGACTTGTATATAGCAAAAACTTGCCACGGGCCCAACATAGGTCTAAGCTCCCTCAACAGCTGTGATCAGGAGCTGACAGAAACTGCATTTTACACATGCTTTAGTAGTTATCACTCCCTTATAATACACCTGTCAACTACAGAAATGAGTTACAGCCATCAGGCATTGAGCAATTTGAGTTCAGAGTTTGTCTGAGTGGCCTAGTGGGGACTGAAGGAGACATTTGAAGTAACACTTTTAGCAAGACAAGCATATTCATTTTTCACGTGTATCGTTTCTTTGTTCCTATCTGACGCCCGGTCACTTGACGCAGTTCGCACACAGGACACCAGCGGAGCAAACAGCAGCATGCAGGTAACCGCAGGGAGGAGACTCTGTCCACGGAGAACGGGGAAACCCACCCAGAGGAAGGGTGCCACGGGGCTGCGTTTGAGGAGAACTGCACGCTGTTATATTACGTTTCCAGCAGTATCTTACCTATTTTAGTACAAACCACCTCAACCCTATCGCAGATGCCCACATACCAGCAGCACTGTGCTCAGCTGGCAGCAGCAATCTCACCAGTTGTCCCAAATTTAGTCGTTCCTGCTGGTCAGGTGGAGTATTTAGTCCTTGCCTCATCAGCCCAGTCCCAGTAGCTAAGAGAAGCAAGCAATCTAAATGTAATTCTAAATGTAGCGCTGAGCCTTCCAGAGTCATCCGGGACCCCACAGAACTATGACTGTTTTTTAAAGAATGTTAAATTTAAATTTAATTTTAAAGTTAAATTTAAATGTTAAATTTAAAGAACATACACCCAAGTGTTATTTTTGATACAAGCGCTCAGAAGTGTGGACAGGTTTATTTAATACACCTTAAGCAAAATTAAGAATGGAGTAAAGCATATAATCCTTTTCAAGTTAAGTGTCTGCAGGCTCTGACTGGTTTGGAAACATTTATTCACAAAACTTACCTCAAATTAATGGCTTATTAAGAAAGTTTAAGCAAACAAATTGTCACATAGTAACACCAAAAACCACTCAACAAAAACCCCTTTTATATGAAGCCAGGGAAATGTTTTAAACCAAATGTTCAAGTAGAGACAGGATCTTATTTTATCAAATGTCTCTACAACAGGTTTATAGTAAAAAATTTACAACAGGAATCCTGGAAGCGGAAACATCTTAAATGACTTGCATCGGCTAAACTTCAACTTTCACATTTACGCACACTTCTGCATTTAAACAAAACCTGACTATCAAAAAAATCCAGTTAGATAAAAATGTTAATTATTAAGAAATTAATTAAAGAAAGTAACACCCCCTAATATAAATCTGAAGGCGAAAAAGATTCTTCCTTTGAGTCTTTCCATTTCTTACAAGAAAGGGAGAGGAGTAGGCCAGAGGAGGAAGAACAGCCCAGGCTTCACATCTTTACGTGCAGACAGAACCAGAGGCAGAAGATCAGCCGAGATGGATGTACTCTGCTGCCCCTCCACTTCCCCGTCCTGAGGGAGACGTCTCTCCGCGAGGGAGGGCAGCCGGCTGCCATCAGATCAAACAGGGAAAGCAGAGCTTTCACCCAGAGAGGGGAAGGACCCATCTGGATCACAGGCAGGCCGCTAATCAGTCCCTCTCACCACACAGGGACTTCTCCTCCTTTACCCTCGGCTGGCCAGATTCACTGTTGACGGACAGAGAAAGCAGGACTGCGCTCCGAACGCACTCTCAAATGATTTTACTTACCACTGGGGAATTTCTGAACCCCTTGATAGCTTGGAAAATGCCACCTCCGATCGCTCCCATCGTGAAAGCACCTCCGCAGTCATCTATTATCCTCCAGGGACTATAAAGAAAAATAAAGATGAAAATACTAAATTCCATCACCTTAAACCGTGCAAGTAACTGTCATGGATCCACCACTCACGCACTGAGCGTAACCGGGGCGAAAATGAAGCCTGCCAGCCATATTGTCTCACATCCAGCTTGCTGAACAGACATCAACAAAACACACGCACAGGCAGTATCACAGCAAAACAAACTCGAGGGTTGCCGAGAGCCTACCACCCCGTCTCCCTGGAGCGGTAAGTATCAAATATACAGAAGAATTGCCTGAACTCCTCACACGAGGCAGAAAGACGTATTTCCATCACGGAAAACTTCTGCAGAATTCCAGCTCTGCCCTACTTATGGAGCGCAAATAGCTTTAAATGTATTGTCCTCATTTTCTGGACAGAAAACTTAGGTGGCAAATTCAAGGAGACTCAGTTCACAGCTGGCACAAAACACCGCTTTCCCAAACGACTCACGCTTTTCATCAGTTCTCATTATTGAAATGAGAGACTTCAGCCACCTTTTGGTAAAGTGAAAAGGTTTTTCCTGACGCATCCTGGATCTTTGAAGCTCATTCACAGAAAACACAGACCTAGTCACAGGTCCAGAAGGCCACGGTTCCCGCCTCCAACAACACCGAGCGTCGAACGTTTCCGACCAGCGAGCAAAAGCTTTGCAACAGAAAGAGCACCTTCCTCGCCGCAAACGCTTTCAACACCAGTGAGATGAGCTTTAATTTGGGGTTCAAAACCGCTGCCCAGGTTTCACCACTAAACTGAAATCCTAAACTAGGGGAGCACTAACCTGCTATTAACCTCTGTTGCCACTGCTGGTAATTTCGAAGCATAAAATAACAAAGTTATATCAAAATCTTACAACAGAAGCCAAGCACTCAGATGACCATAACTCCTGCACTGTCAATAATCAGAAAACCTACCAAAAAAACCAGACTACCACAACATGCGGGGTCACAAAACTGAACACTACGGCAAGCTCAGTGTTCACGTCAGCAAATCACAGATAGGAGCATCGATGCGCATTTCCGATTTCACTCCGAATTCCACGTTTCTGTTCTCCCTACGGCATCCAGCTCCTGCACGTGAGAATACACCTTCACTGCTCCGTTTTGAACCTGCCGCTTTTCCACTCCACAGACTACGCTGATGCTCTTCTGCTGTAAGGAGGGACAAACACCATCGCTTTCCCCCAGACCCCTCGCTGTACTGCGTATTTTGTCACGAGGTGGGTTTTTCCTTCCTGAAAAAAAGGTCTAAAATCTGCAGTCCCTCCTCCTACACGTTCTCCCAGGCTCCTCACTTTCATGACCTACTTCTGAACCTCTCCCTACCTCCACCATCGCTTTAATGAGAGGGCGTAGCCAGCTCCACACGCCTTCTAAACGAGGGTAAATTGCTCGTTTGCACACGTGGCATCGTTGGCTTGCTTTGCTTTTGCATCCTGGCATGGCCTGGCTGCTCGGAAGGCACCAGGACCCCACCCAGACGTCACCACCGACCTTCCCCAGTGACAGCACATCCAGGTCCCAAACCCAGGCGGATCAGAAACCAGTGGAAGGATTGTACGTTATCCCACCACGCATCACCCTTCTTTTTTACTGCTCTGCCCGCAACATGCTTTCATCTCATATTCCTCACAAACCCCCTCCAGCTTTGACTAAATTAAATAATTTAGCCCCATTTCACATTTTATTTTCCTTCCCCTATTTCCTGCGTTTAATGATCAGGAAAAGGTTACAGGCACACTGTTGTCAGAGATGCCAAGATGAAAAACAGCTAAGTCTTTCTTCTCGGGGTTTTATTTGTTGTTTTGTTCTTCTCCACGTCTCCTGCCCAGATTTTGATCTACTCTGTTATGAATAAAACATCTCATCACAAATCTCTTCCTCCGTTAGTTTGCAGACAGTGATCTTGTTAAAAGGCTTCCTGGAAATCTAAATAGATTATGTCAAGTGGTCTTCCTTTACTCACAAGGCCAAAGAATTCTAATTTAGCAAATTGTGCCTGTTCTTTACCGAAGCTATGTTAATTAGACCCCAACCACGGAATGCTTTCCTAGATTTTTTTTTTTTCCATCTTTAACTCTACTTCAGATGTCAAGCTCATTAGCTGTTACCTTTGGGGTTCTAAATTTTCCTCTTAAACTATCCTCCAAGCCTCCGCAAGAGCAGCTTTTAAATGAGAAAATGTCTTTGATGCCGGCACCGCCATTTCGTATGTCAGCTCCCGGATAGATGCCGCGTGCATCTGAAAGCCGACACAAAACACCCCACAGCCCCTGGCAGCGCCTGACTTCAGTAGAGGAGAGAATCAGAAGAGAATGGAAGAGATTATTCCATTATTAATTTGGCACTTATCTACAAGCTTAATGTTACCGTTAATTGTTTCCCTGACTTTAAGGGGACCCCTCCCAGTAGGGAAATGATGTGCTCACTGCTACACGCAAGATAAGGTTGGATTCCTACTCCCGATGGCAACCGAGATCGTTTAGATATGAGGAGAGCAGAGGCCAGGACTTCTCTTATGCCAGGGCCCCGGGGCAGCCACGTACCAGCTCCACTGACCGGAGAGGCTGAGGATACCCCGGACCTCAGATACGCACCCAGAGGGAGCTGCGGTGGCTTACAGCACTGTCTGGCTCGATAAAAAGAAGAGAGGGTGGCAGGCAGGGCCAGGGGAGCGAGGAAAGCTGGTGGGTGCCACGCCAGCTCTGACCACCTGTGAGCTCTTAGGGGGGTAAAGCATCCCTCCAAGCTCCTGCAGCTCTTCTAACCGCCGAGGAACCACGAGCGTCGGAGGCCGTCGCGTTTTAAATGAACAAAGCTGCCTTTTCTCAGTG